GGGTTCGAGGTCACTAGGGTCTAGGGAGTGAGAATGCTTGATTGGTACAAGAGGTCAAACTGGGGTGCCCAGTGCAAGACCTGTCCTTATATACTAAAGTACACGGTCGCTGACTAATCGGAGAACAATAGCGAATGGGGACAAAGGAGTCACGTGGTGTTGTGACCACGTAGTACAATGGCGAAAAGAACAATAGCGATGAGAACAATGGGGATATGAAGCATGGTGTTGGAACCATGGTAGGTACGAGTGTCCGGGTTGTGCCGTAAGAAGAGGGAATGCATGGTAGAGAGGATACGAGGAGAAAGGAAAGAAGAGATGCCCCCACAGGGCGTTTGTAACAACGGCGGCGATGTAATCGCTGAGCTCCTTGAGCTGCGAACGGAGAGCAACCAGCTCATCTGAGGTTGAGGAGTTCGAGGACGGGGTGGGGTTGGGCGGAGTGGCGGTGGATGCGGCTGCTTGTTGACCCTTGAGGGGCTTCCGATAGTGCCTCTGGAGGTGACCCTTCTCGCCACAGTTGAAGCAGGACCGCTCCTCAGGTCCACATTGGTCTGCTGCCGCTCGTTCGCCGCAGCGGCCCCAGCCCTTGGTTTTAGGCATGGCCTCTGCACGTTCGGCCAACTGCTGGTCCATGTGAAGGGCGACCTTCTGCGCTTTCTCCAGTGTGTCGATCTCATGCACCGTGACCGCAAACTCGTTCTGGATCTTGTACAGCAAACCATCCACGTAGCATGCCTGCTTGTCCTCATCGGAGAGCGGAGTGCGCGCTGCAATTGCGTTGAAGTTCGCTGTGTAGTCCTTGGCCGTGCCGAGCTTTTGTGATGCCTTGCACAGCTTGATGAGTTTGGTGAGCGCAGCCTTCTTGTCATCGACTGCGCAGAAGTGGGCCTCAAAAGCTGTCTCAAAGGCATCCACACTTGACCAAATGACCTTGCCATCCACGAGGTCGATGATGTGGGGCCCAGCCCATCGAGCGGCGTCGTCCGTCAACCTGTTCAGCACTATGATCCAGGCAAGATTGTCCGCGATTGACGACACTACCAGCTGTGTATGGTAGAGCTTGGCCATGGCAGCAAAGCGGAGTCCGGCCTGAGCCTCCTTGCCATCATAGTCCCGAGGTGCAAGTTGGTTGAGGAGCTTGGAGTTGATGGCAGACATGGTGGGAGACGGGCTGCGAGGGGATTGCACGCTTCATTCGGAGCGTGATGGGTTTTGTGGGGGTCTCAGGGGTGGTTCAGTGGTCTCCGGAGGTTCGAACGCACCTGAGGCTCGTCGTTCTAGACAATTTGTGAAGAGCGAGATGGTGGTATCAAGCGGGATACGAGATCCTCCGGCGGCAGATTCAGTTCGGGGAGGGCCGCCTGGGCTAGGGATACGACTCGGGACGCGGGTTGTTGAGCGACTGGGCTGTCTAGTCCCTGGTAGGCTGATGGACGCGAGTACAGCTGCTCGTAGCGGCCGTCCTGACTCAGTTGTCGTTGAGAGGGGAGTCGCTAAGCGAACCTGGATGAGCGCACCTTGTTCCGCCTCAGGTCGTATGTGGTGTGGGAATTGGGACCAGTCGGTACCGCTGTCGACCCCGTTGTCCAACCGGTGAGGGCAGGGTTGGCTCGGGCAGATGTGCCACTGCTGATAGTTGTGGTTGTAGTGCTGGTCTTCTACGGCGACAGGATGAAAGCCGTGGAAAAACAGGCTACAATCCAGGATGGAAAGGTGGGGGAGACAGTGATAAACGGAGTGTTAAACGTGGGAGGGCGCTGGTGCCTGTGAGGTAGTTTCGACCTAATGTTACGACTGACTGTCGAGCAAGTAAGTGGAGACGAGCGAGGCAGGCAGGAGCGCCAATGAGCTCTGATCGCAGTGAGACTGGAGCGGAGCTCAACAGGCAGGACTGGAGACAAGTTGTGTATTGAGCGAAGTATCTACAGAGCAAAATACACAATGGCTTACCTGGAGACAAGAGGTCGAAACTAGAGTCTCCAGGTAGCAAGGGATCCAGCTATATACAGGAAATGAACAATGGGCGCTAGAGAACAATAGCGTCGCCATGGGTACGGAGTACAAGGGGTGTAGGACAATAGCGGACGTGGGAACAAAGGGAGCTATTGTCCGTGTGTGGACAAAGGGAGACCGTAGCGAGTAGTGAACAATAAGGAAACGTA